TTTCTTTTATCTCTTTTCTTTTCTTTTTCTTTCTTTCTTTCTTTCTTTCTTTCTTTCTTTCTTTCTTTCTTTCTTTCTTTCTTTCTTTTTCTTTCTTTCTTTCTTTCTTTCTTTCTTTCTTTCTTTCTTTCTTTCTTTCCTTCTTTCTTTTGATTTATTTATTTGAGAGAGAGAGAGCAGGGGAAGGGACACAGGGAGAGGGAGAGAGAGGGAGAGAAGCCGATTCCTCACTGAGAGCAGAGCCCGATACGGGGCTCAATCTCACCACCCTGAGATCATGACCTGAGCCAAAACCAAGAGTCAGATGCTCAACCGACTGCGCCACCCAGGCGCCCCAACAACCTCTGACCTTTCAAGGCACAGCGCCTCGTTCTCTTCTCACATCAGCCCTGTGAGGTGTTTATTATTATCCCAGCCTTGAGCCCTGAGGAACCTGAGGCATGAAATGGGGACACCCAAAGTCACACAGCCAGCCAGTTCTCAAAGTAGGCTTGCATCCTGAGCTCCTCGTCCTGGCAGTCCTGCCTCTGAACTTGGACCCTGAGCCATCACAGGTGGCCTTCCAGAGACAGGAGCACTTAATATGAGTTTTGGGTTTCCCAGAACGCTTTCTCAAAGAGCCTATGAAAGAGAAGGGACCATGGCAACCCCACACTAAGGGCAGCTAAGCCCCCCACTGAGGTCCAAGGGCTCAGGGTTGGGGGGCAGGGGCATCCCAGGCACTCACCAACATTCTTCCTGTGCCGTGCTCTAAGCACTGCCACGACCACGGCCCCCACTGCCAGCACCAGGCCCAGGGGCACCAGGGTGGAGACAAGCACGTTGGAGCTCCTACTTTGTCCCTCAGAGCTGGAAGAAGGACTGAGTTAGTCACTGGAAGGGAAGCCTGGGGTCCCAGGATGTGCCAGCAGGTTGGGTCCTATTAGTTCTTTCTTTCCCTCTTCTTGATACAGCCCCCTAGCTCTACTCTTCTAAGGAGACTTCCCAGACATGGCAAAGGCAAAGACTGGGCCTTTTCTGCATCCCAGGCCTGGGAAATTGAACTGAATGGTGGACACCACCCCAGCCGCAGGAGAAGGGCTGAGAGCACCACTGGCCCCTCCTGAGCACAAGCCAAGGCAGTGAGGGCTGCCCCACTAGCGAGAGGAGGACAGGCTCTCCTCTGGGCTCCCCACCGCCCAAGCTCAGGTCCTTGTCCTCTGGGATATTCTCCCTCACCTGCTGGTGTCTGCGGATGCTCTGCTCCCATCTGCAGGGTCTCCGGTATCCTTCACTGGATTGTTTTCCACAAAAAGCCTGGGATTCTGAACGACTTTGCTCTCAACCTCCCTGACACTTGACTCTTCACCAGGAGCAGCATCCACTTGGCTGACATCTTGGGACCCTGGAGAAAGACAAGTGGGTCTGGATTATTGTTCTTTCTATGTTTTCACTCCTTGAGATTAGGGAATCAGAAGAGTGGGACTTCATTAGCAATCACAGGGTCAGGGTGAGATCTCAAGGCTGTTGGAGGACAGTCCAGGATAACACTAGAAATAGATGATCTCTGTCCCATTCATACCAAATTCATTTCCACCTACAAGCCTCCATGGCATAGATCCAGCTCTGCATAGGGGCTGACCCATCATTTGGAGATAGGGAGATTTTTCTCAGCTTTTGAAACCCTGCCCCAGGTCTCCTGACTGAAGGGCTGGGTGCAATCGTGCTGCCCCCTGGTGGTAGCTTGGCAATGGGTCCCTCAGTGAACCAGACCAAGTGGGACCACGGCACAGTAGGATTTCTAAAGGGACTAATAATACCTTCACTAGGGATAAAACACTTCATGTGACATTTTAAAAAGAGACTTAAAATGCAAACAAGCTAGAAGAATTTGCCTTAATTTTCTTTATCAGATCTTATACATGAAGATATCTGGCCCTCTTTTGAGAGCAGGCTTTGGCAGAGTATATTGCATGTGATAGTGATTTTGAAATTTCACTATGTAGAAGATCTCACTTATAGAAAGGGCTTCAAAATAGCCTGAAGGGGCAACTATAGGACTTGTCTTGAAGCTATGGTTATATGGCAAACTCACTTTTTTTTTTTTTCCGGTTTGCATGTTTATTTCAGATGTTCCTTGTAGAGGGCTCAATGAGACTAGATAGAGGCTAAATCTCCCCTGCCTCCAGTCTCTTAGAGCCAAACCTGGGGGCCACCTCTGATGGAGGAGCTGGTATGCAGGATCCTTCTCTGGTGTCCCCAGGGGACATAGACCTCAGAGACTTACCCTTTACCCTCTCCTGGACTGCCACATAGACAGCCGTGGTCTCTCCGTATCGGAGCCCGTCCTTCACCCCGCACCAGTACCAGCCTTCATCCGCCTTGGAGACTGGGTTCAGGGTCATGGAAATGATCTGGCTCTTCTGGTCGCAGTTCATGACGGCCTGGCTGGACCCTTGGCTGGGCAGAGTTTTGCAACCTTTGTTACTCCACTTGCACCAGTATTTCTCATAGGAGTAGTATTTGCATGGGAACTGGCAGGAGAGATTGAAGGTCTCTCCCACCCAAGCAGTGGGATTCTTGGGTGCCTTGAGGCCTGGTTCTCCTAGAGCAGGGAGGGAGGGAGAGACGGGCACACAAGTTGGCATTGGTGATACTGCGGGGAAGTGACTGTGGTGGGGACCTTTATCCATGGCCCATTTCCTCTCTGGATAGCATTATAAGTAAATACATTATGCTGAATACATAAAGAATGTAATTACATGCCTATGTAATAATTATTATTGATGATCCTCCTGCATTAATCTAGTCTATCATAAAACATAGACTCTTACACATTGACCTCAGTTTGCTTTCCTTGATCTTCTCTTCTAGATGCAATACAAAGAGCTGCACTCTACTTCAGCTGATGGCATATATACTGTAAAAGAGGCCAATATTCTTGATAATAAAAGGTGCTACATATGGTAGTTTGGAGAGTGTGGGGTATGCACAGGAAAGGGTGCTTGTTACAGTTATGAAAACATGATGTCTCGGTAGGTGGGCTCTCTCCTGAGGTCTGTCCCATCAGCATGGGATGAGATAAGAGGAAGAGGGGGTGGCTGAGGGGGGTGTCACTGCTGACTGATGGGTCCTGGGGCTGCCTCCCCTCCCTCTTGTCCCAGTTCAGCTCTTACCTTCGACAATCTTGAGCTCCACCATGGACCTCCAGCGATGATCGCCATTGGTCACACACCAGTAGAAGCCAGCATCCTCGGTGGTGAGCTGGTTGAATATTACCGTGTAGGTGCCATTGCCTGGCTCTTCGTGCAGTGTGAGCCTCCCCTTGTACTGCTCCTTAACCGGCCTGTCACTCTCCACCAGTGGTTGGCAGTGTCCATTTTGAGTGTCTTCCCAGCGACACCAGTACTTCAGGCTGTTTGCTTCCTTAGGGTTGTAGGGGCAGAACACTGCCACAGAGCCACCAACCACACCTTTCACCACAGAGGGACTCTTGGGAATTATGGTCTCTAGAAGTGCAGAGATGGAATGGAACATCAGCAACATGGTCTGGGCAACCTCTTACCCACGGTCTCAGCTAGGGCAGAGAGTGAGGTTTAGACTATTTACCTCATTCTCCTTAGAGAATGAGAAAGACTTTCCTAATGTCACAGAGCCTGTAGCTGGAGACGTCCAACCAGACTCCAGTGACCTTCACCACTAGTCTGGGCATCTTGTTTCCTTTCCACATCTTATTCTGGGCAGAGAATGGAAGGAGTTTAAGGAGACACTATCAGTTCTTCTCCTTGGGCTTCTTATAAAATCTCTCTATAAAAGGTTTTTGTCTATTTCTTAGCTCATCCCATAAAAATGGCCAGATAGTTTTTCTCCAAATTAAGAAAATATATTTGGTATAGATGGTATGATTTAAAATATGAACTATGTAGCGCAGAAGGTTTACTTGTTGACAACTTTGAGGGCCATCTCAGGAAAAAAAAAAAAGATGGCCATTCTCCAAAAAACTAAAGTTGACGTCCAGTGGGAAGACTGGATGACTGAAGATGCTGAGGAATGTGGTGAGGACTGAGCGGGATATAAAAGTGATGCACAGGGAATGTGAGCCCCTTAAGGAAACGTCACAGGTGACATTGAACTGCAAGTACTGGTTTGCTGTTTCTCATGAGGGTAACTCTCTGCAGGGTGTTCCCAGGTGGGGGGGGCAGGGATTTAATGATTTCACCACCTTGCTGACTTGCCAAACTAGAGTTGAGTAGGCCAGATGGCAGAATAACAAATAACCCTATGAGATGTTGAGGGGGAAAGTTAGAGACTGGGGCATTGTTTTCCTGGGAGAGTGCTGACACCAAGATAAGTTAACATTTCTCCCATTTCAGTATGAGGGATGAAGTGCCATCCTGCTCAAAAGACAGGGAGAAGGGACAGATGGCCCTTGCAAGCCCTGCCATGGCACTGGGATTCCATGCTAAGTCTTCACCATGGCTCTCTGAGACCCAAACAATCTGCGGGTCTTGCCTCAATGAGGAGCTTCACTCTCCTTCTTGTTAATCAGGGACAGCCATCAAAAGGCCTTTGACAGAGAAGAATTAGTAGATAACACAAGGCTGAGGATGTGTTTTCTAGCTCTCCTGTCCAGCTGCCCACATAGCAGGCAGCTCAGGGCTCGATGGGGAGCAGATGACGCTGACTGACTTGATGGATATTGGATAGACTCGCAGGGTATGAGCCAGTCACCCACCTGCTGGGCTGACACACCTCTTCCCCTCCCCATCTCAGGTCTCACCTTCATTGACAAAGAGTTGCCAGGCCTGGATGGGCCAGCCTTTCTGAGGCTCGCCATCAGAGTCGGCTCCACACAGGTAGTACCCTGAATCCTCTTTCCTCAGGTTGGTGATATGCACACTGAAGAAGCCCTTATCCATGGGAGTGAGCAGGATTCTGCCCTCAAAAGCCTGAGCCTTCTTCCCCAGGGTGTTGATGACCACATCACAGTCTTTCCCATCGCTTAACCGGCACAGAAATTTGGCTGTATCTTTCACCTCGGAGCCCAGGGCACAATCAAAGGTCACAGAGCCCCTCAGATCTCCATAAAGCAGTTCAGGCTCAGGCTTCAGCACTTGGAGGTCCATGTTCCTCTTCTCACCACTGGAATCATCCCCAGTCTGGCAGACGTACATCCCAGCATCGCTGAGCTGGAGTCGCTTGATAATGAAACTGAATTCTAATTGGTTGGTACCCTGAATAATGATCTCTGCTCTGTCCTTATAGTTGGGGCTCACATTCTCTGTGGAGTCAATGACTAGAACACAGCTCTGGCCTTCCTTCTTGCACACAGACTTCTTCTTCTCAGAATTCTCAACCTTGAAGGGGCAATTCATGGTCACTGTTCCGCCCAAGTCAGCAACGTAGACTCCAGTGTCATTTTGGAGCCCAGGACCTGCAGGATAACGGGCGGGTGGCAAGTTGTGATTTCACTTTCTTGCAACAGAGGGATGTTCAGTATTCCCAGTGAGGGTCTGGCTGTGCCTATCACCTTCATTGCCCTCCTTCCAAAAAGGACACTGTCAGAATATGTCTTCCAAGGACCAGTCTTACTGCTGTCTCCTCCGTGAAGCTCTCCCCCAGCTGGCACTAATCTCTTCCTCCTCTGTGCTCTCTTGACACTTACATCTGTATCTCTTATTATATCTGATCTTGCCTAGAGTTAATTATGTTCCCCACAGCGTGGAAGTCCCTTGAGAGCAAAGACATGCTTTACACATGTTTGACTCCCCATGTTGTGCCTAGCACAAGGCCTACACATAGTAGGCACCCAAATTAATGTGTCGAAATAAGCAGAATGAATATAAGTATAGGGTGATGGATTTCAGTGCATTGTGATAGAAGTTTCTAAAATTTACAACAGTCCATATATGGAAGGACCTGCTTTGTAAAGCAATGAATTTCTGCCATTGCAAGTGTTTAATCAGAGGCTGCATACCCAATGTTTCCAGTGTTCTTTCAGACATCCCGTATAGGATCAACTCCAAGTTCTCCTCGGCTCTTAAAGTTCTTCCCTTTTCTGACTCTCCATGACCACCCAAATGAACTCTTTATTCAGTCCATAGATAGCACCCAGGCATATCCCAAGGGAATGTTTTTGAGACATATCTTTGAGAACCCCTCCAGTTTTCCTCCCTTAAGACCTCTTTCTCTCTTAATTTCCTTTGATTAACTGAAATGCCCTTTGTTGTTGAACCCTTGTCAGAAAGATCTTTCCTATTTTTCTCTTCTCTTAACTAGAACAGGCTTATTCAGTGGCCTACTCTTCCAGGGCCCTGGTCTTGGGACAAGAACTGATCATTTCATTTATGTTGAGGACTAATGGATCCCAGGTCAAAAATGCCTTTTGAAAGAAGCCTTCTGGTGACCTTAAGGTCTTGATCTGATGGGGTTTAAGGATCCCTATAAATCTCTCCCTGCCTTTTCTGTCTCCCTCAGCTCAAAGACTTCTCTCCCCACCAGCAACACACACACAGTGAGAGAACTCCTTCTCCTGATGCTCTTCTAAGCTACTGCCTTAGTAAAACCCTCAAATGTCATAGGCCCTGAAGACCTAGAAAGAGTGCCCACCACCCCCAAGGGGGTCCCATCTGTCTCACTTCCACATTCTATTATGAAAAGTCCTTGCCTCTGGAAAGAGAGCTCACAGCCTTCCCCACCCCATGCCCAAACACTCTTCCCTCTCAGGAAATTCTTCCTCAAGCCCTCCCATGACAGCCGTGATGAGTCCCTCTCACTTTCCCAAAGGAGCCCAGGGAGCCTGGATTCTTACCACGGCTGACCACCAGGCTCACATCAAAGGACAGGCCTCGGCTACTAATGCCCAGACCACACTTGTAGTGCCCAGAGTCAGCCTGGGTGAGACGGCCGATGTTCACCACAAATGTGTTGTTCTCTGGGAAGTTGATGAGGTTGGCTCTGCCCTCATAATCCTTGGAGACGTAGCCCTCCGAAGAGATGAGTGTCGTGCAACGGCCCTTGGCTCCCTGCCGGCACCAGTACTTCCGGGTATGCCGGTTGACGGAGGAGTCTGGGTAGTAGCATGTGATGGATGTTGAGCCACCTTCCACACTGCTCACTTCCTGGGGACCGAATATGGGACTCTTCATGGAGACCACTGTGGGGACAAAAGACAGAGGTTTTCGGAGGCCCTGGCAGGTAAAGCCTGCTGAAAGGATCCCGAGGGCCTCCCCCGAGGAGATGAAATCTTGCGCCTGACACATGTGCCTTCTGTGGATTATTTGTTATGTACTACAGCGGGACAATTGCTGCTGGACAATGCTGCATGATTTGCTGTGATTAGGTAAAATGATTGATTAATCATTATTACATTCTAACTGTGACTCATTAAAGATCACCATTTTAAGGACAATGGAACGTCAAACTTATTTCATGATATCCTTGTCCATTAAAAAAAAGTCACTTTGTGGGGTGCTACACCATTGCATTTGTTATCTAGTATTTTCTTATATTTTTAAAAACACTTTGTAGATTCTTTTGGTTTTTTTTTTTCCAGATAAAAATATTGAGAGCCAAGAAGGATAAGTCATTTCCCCAAAACCCCATAGCAACTCATAGGGATGTCTGGTTTGAAGTCAAGGTCTTTTTTTTTTTTTCTTCCCGGTGAAGACCTTTAACCAGACTCCTGGCCTTGAAAAAAGGAATTGCCATTCCTGTTCCTGACCCCCAACACTTGGTCACCATGTTTTTTTTTTTTTTTTTTCAGATGTGACCTTTCAGCATCATCTTTGTGACTCCTCCTTGAGGCAGCGCAAGTTTTGAGAGTGGCATCCCTGGAGATAGGCCTGATCTCAGTGTTCCCAGGGAACTGGGTCCTGGAGGGGTGGGCTGGGTCCTGACAGACGCACCTGGAAAGACAGCCAGCAGGTAGGTGAGGAAGAGGAGCCCCATTGCTAGTAGCTCTCAAGGGGCTGTTCCAGCCAGGCCAACTTCTTTGCAGGAGGCTGAAAGACAATAGAAAGGATGAAGCTTTGTGTTTTCCAAGGCTAGCTGGCCTTAGAGTTCCTGTTCCACCTGTTTGGTTCTGTAGCTCCAGTAACTGAGAAAAAGCCTGTTGAAAGAATGAATGGCTCCACCTTTCCCATTATAGTTCAAAGTCACACTATTCCACAGTGCTTTTTATTCCTTAATAGTTGTAAGTAGATATTTGTCTTCTCAACTAAGCTGCACGTTCCTTTGGGGTAAGGACACAGGTGCCATTTTTCCTGTGTCCCCTCTGGGCGGCACGGTCTGTAAGATCTCAGGAACAGCTCACTGGATGACGGGTTATACCAACAAGTGGCCCCATCTCTGTTTCAGCTGCCCTCCCTATATCCCTGGCATACTTTATGGTTTGTTCATATGAGCAAACTGAGACCCATAGAGAAGGTCTGCTAAGGATTAAAGTTGTAAATGTCACAATGATGATCTCTTACCATGATCTCCTTCCAGGCACTTTGTTAAATAATGTACATGTATTATTTAAACTTAATATCCCCCTCTGAAGTGGTTGTTCTTCCCCACATTTTACATAGGAATAAACAAAAGCTTAAAGCTAAGTGCTTTCTTCAAGGTCATATAGGAATTAAGTGTCTGGGTGGGCAGGGTGAGGTGGGGGAGATGGGCAAGACTGGAACCCAAACTTGTCTGACTCCACAGTCCAAGCTCTTTGCCTTCTCCCAATGCACTGGGTCACACCGCAAACCCAGCAGCAGGCTTAGCCCTGCGCTCATTCTTGTCACTGCTTAGCAAAGCATTGTCATTTATGCTTTCCTGGAGCTTTATAACTTCCCTTTAACTAAGACAAAATGGATATAATTACAACCATCTTATGGTTAAGAAAATCAAGATCTTGAGATGCTGAGTGATAGGCCCAAGATTTCCCAGAGACTTGGTTATGGGGTCAGGGTTTAAAATGCAGGTACTGTGATGGGGCGCCTGGGTGGCTCAGTCGTTAAGCGTCTGCCTTCGGCTCAGGTCATGGTCTCAGGACCCTGGGATGGAGCCCCACATCAGGCTCCCTGCTCCGTGGGAAGCCTGCTTCTCCCTCTCCCACTCCCCCTTGCTTGTGTTCCCTCTCTTGCTATCTCTCTGTCAAATAAATAAAATCTTAAAAAAAATAAAATAAAATGTAGGTATTGTAACTTATTATCCTGCCTTATGATTCAGGGCAGAGGAAGCTGGAGAATCTAAACTAAGGTCCCTTGGAGGGTCCGCTGCTGGTAAACCTTGTCACGCCTGTGGATATAGCCTTGGGCTGGGGTGGGGTGGGGGGGTTGAAGTTTGAGGGTCCCAGGGCTCAGCCTTACCACTGCTGTCCTTAGGATCCAAACTGCAGCCCAGAGGATGAAAGAGGTGGACAGAGGAGCCCCACTTTCCCACAAACTTCTGTAGGCTTTAACCTTTGGAGTGGATTTGACAATGAGAGCGTTAAGGGAGAAAACCATGTCAATAAGCACAAGGCATGAGCACCTATAAAGATAAGGAAGCTCTAAGCACTAGGGAGACCAGAGAGGGATCTCCCAGGCTCCTCTTAACCACCTTGGCCCCTGTTTCTGCTCCCAGAGACTCCCTTCATTAGCTTGAGCCAAAGGCAATAGAGCTGTTTATCTTGGTTATTTCTTTTCCGGGGGGGAATTCCCCAACAAGGAACCTTTTCATTTCCTTGTGCAGATAAAGGTATTCTGTTTCTTCAGTTCTTTGGAAGAATAAGGGAAGTGGGTTAGGAAAGGGGAGGACAGATATGGGTGTCAGGTGGCAGCTTGAGGTTCTCTTGGTTCCAGTTAATTGCCCCAGACCATTCACACCAGGCCAATGATTAACTTCTGGGGTAGGTTCTTAGCCAAATGCCAACATCAGCCCCAAACTGGATGCAGTCAGGAGATGCTGGCTAGAGGAACCACCTGGGTGGTCACTACGGGTCACCATGAGAGAGACTTCCAGGTGGGACTAGGCGTCAGAAGGCTGGGAAGTCTGTCTCCTCTGGAAGACTTGGGATGGACTGGCTGCAGAGTCCCAAGGAAATTACCCTGGGTAAATTGGGCCTTGGGGGCAGGTACAAAATGCCACATGCTTTTAAGAACCAAGCCAGCAGTTCTGGTTCCTATTCTCACCTTTAGATAAGCAAGCTCCCTAATATTTCTGTGTGACAGGAATGGGTGCCTCCTCGGGATTGATAAAAGTGATTTGCTCTGGGTTACAGAGAAGCAGATGCCTGCTTTTCCCAAGTGGGGGGTCCCAACTTCTGGCTCAGGCTTCCTCTCATTTGTGACATGCTTACATGGCCGTGAGTGTCCACCCGGGGAGAGGACACGCACATGGACCTGTTAGCCTTGGCACAGCCTCAGGCCAGGAATGAGAGCATCAGGTGTGCACAGCTGGAAGGGCAAACCTGGTAGGGAGTGACCTTGGTGAGGAGCACAGAGTCTAATCACAAGGGAGATGGTGGGAGGGCAAGAGCACCGCCACTCTCGGAAGCAGGAAATCTTCTTTGTCCAAAGCTAAACTTGAAGCACAATTTCTCTGCTAGCAGCTGAAAGAACCCTGGGCTTTGAAAATCAATAGAGATCTTTCCTCTCAAAACCAGACTTTTCTCCCAAACCTGGGAAATTCAGGTCTCAGGGAGGACCCAGTCTATGGTGGTTGGAGCTGGTTTAAACAATTTGCTTAAGGAAAGAGCATAATATTTACTGGGCACCTACTAGGGCACCAGATGCTTTGCTAAATGCTTTTCTTACATGACTTCATCCATCATCACAGCAACCCGGAGAGATAGATATAATTATCTTCATGTTGTAGATGAGAGAGCTAAAGGTTAGAGAAATTCTTGGCCCCAAGAATCCACAGCAGAATCAGAGCACTACCTTATTATCACTCCTTAGATGAGCAGAGGAACCTGTCTTTTTGGAATCTACATAGGCTAAGATAACATGCATGAAGGCACTTTTTCTTGTCCTTAAAACAGGACTTGTTCTTTTTTCCAGCTAGGCTGGGATATTCTAAATCACTCTCATGTTACCAAGTTACTATCTCTGACACATTTACAACATGTCCACACAATTGAGGATTGGGACAGGTTTAGGCTGTGCTGGAGAATAGAGTTTATCACCTTATAAAATTAATCTACCTGGCTCCCCTTCGGTTAGAGTGACTGAACTTCAGCTCTACTAGGGTGGAATCCAAACCTTTGTCCATCGAATCTATAGTTTCCTTTTTTATTCAGAGGGAGAGGGATCTCCTGGACCAGGTCCTAGCATGGCTGCTGGTGAACTATGTGGCCTTTAGCCACTCTAAGCTCGTCATCTGTTTGGTACCCAGCAGAGGGTCGGTCAGGGCCTCACAGCCCCAGGGGCTTCAGAGAGGACAGAGAGCACGCACTACAGGGACTTGAAGCCAAGTTGGCAGTTTCTGACATCTTCCTGTGAGTGTGAACTCGGAGGAGAAAGAAGTTTGGAGCTCAGAGGAGTGGGAAGCAGCTCGCCTGGCTGGGGTCGGGGTTTTCTCCTGAGAGAAAGAGGCACCGCCTGAGTCCACTTGGGACTATCCCTTCTATCTCCCTTGGGTGCAGGAGCAGAACACATACTAGAGTGATCCTGGAGATTGCATTATCACTAAGGGAGGGAGAGCAGTCTGTGTGGTTTGGAAGGGCCGCAGACTTGAAATGACAAGTGGAAGCTTAGGAGAGTTTATGTAGTTTATGTAAGTCCTGGAGTGTGGGAGAGTCTCCAAGTAAAGGCAATGTTGGGGGAAGGGAATAAGAATTCTAGAGGGCAAGAAGATGGAGAAAGAACAGTCAAGGGGTCTGAAGAATGTATGACTTAAAAAGATCCAAGACTTTCTAATCCTATCCCTGTCAAAAATGGCCTGCATTAATGCAAAATTTAAGTAGAAACTATGCATTTGAAATACCAGCTCCATGAAGCTCTGGGAATAAGCTTCGTGGATTTCCAGATGACCTTTCTGCAAAAACTTAGAACCTTGTTATTGATTCCATCCCATTCTACCTTGGTATGTAGATACTTATCTCGTCCACTCAACCAAATGGCTCACTCCTGGAAGGCAGAGGCCAACTGAGATCAGTCTCTATAGCCCAGAGGGGCTTGCATGAGAGCATCTGGCAAGGACCAGCTGCTCAGCAAAGTCAAATGGGATTGGAAATGGTTCTATCTCTACCCCCTCTGTGGGAAGGGCAAAGTCAGGGCTGATTCCCTTCACTTTGCCAAATGCCTTCTCGGTTTTGGGCATGCCAGGGGCAGTTGCATGAAGAGGAGCCCAGAGGATGGAAGAGAACCCAGAGGTCCTGAGTCCTTCTCTGCTACAGGCTAGCAGAAGAGCTCTATCACTTGGGCAAAATACACTGGCTCAACAACTTCATCTGTAAAATGGGCATCATAGTCCCTGAGTCTTCTAGAAAGAAGGGCTTCTGTGGGATGGGGAATATGGAGGGGATAATGGGATATGCATATGGAAGTACTTAAATAGTATAAACTGCCCTTCCAACGTAGGAGGTTACAATCACTCTTAAGCACAAGGGAGTGGGGTTCTGTGCACTTGACCTTCATGGTTGCTGTGCACTTGGAGAGTGGCACAGAGTGTGGGCTCTACCGCTTGGTTATCAGGTCTCTCACTTGGGGGCTGTGTGATTTGGGGGCAGGATATTTAAACTCTTTGAGCCTCAAGTCGTCATTTGTAAACCAGAGACAATTGTACCTAGTATAGAGAATCGCTATAAAGGATTAAATGAAACAACGTATGTAAAGTCCTTAGTATGTTGGCGGCTTAAAAAATGTTAGTTCCTTTCCCATCTCCTTTCTAAAATGAGCACAGTCTTCTCTTTTTCCTGTCCTATAGTGAGAGGAGAATAGAAGTCTGTTTACTGGGCATCCTTTGAGGACTGGGGGTGAGCTACTCAGATTAGACCAGCATGGTCTGGAAGAAGAGAGTAGGTTGGAAGTGGGAGATATAATTATAGCTAGCACATATGGAGTTATTTTCAAGTGCTTTGCATGTGTTTACCTCACTTAATCTTTGCAGCCACCCTAGGAGAGAGAATAAAATGGGCAAACTCATTTCACTGATGAGACAATTGAGGCACAGAGGAATAAGAAATCTGCCCAGGGTTACAAAGCTGGTAAGTGACTGCCATGGGATTCAAATTCAGGTACTCAGGACCAAGAGCAGAGGCTATGCTGTACTAGGTGGGTCTTGAAATTGCGAGGAAGCAGTCAATAGAGGAGGGAGCAGGAAAGCCACTCTTAGAGAAGTTACTCCAGTTTCCTCCTCTTCACTTTTCACAGGAAAGATAGTTCCTGTAAAGAGACACCTGAACCCACAGGTAGGTGCCAACAGAGAAATTTCTTCCTGAAAAATAATAATAGCTGCTATTTATGTAGCCCATACCATGTGTAAGGAATGTTATGTTTGATTCCTGTAACTGGACACATTGCCTCCAAAGCTTCTTTCTACACGGTCAATGCCAGGGACTTTGGGATCCCAGCCACAGCCCACCCAGAGAGACGGCAAGACACAGTTGAGGAGGGCCCCTGCCGAGCACATGCATGGATAAAGTTACTTTTTTTTTAAGTTGGGTAGTTTGTTTTTCAGGCGATGTCGAAAGGTCCCCATGACCCTGTCAAAATGGCTGTACCAAAATGTCATCGTTCACACTTGCTGGGTGACTTTATACCACTCACAGGAACTCACGGAGGAGTTGTTGCCTCACCTATAGATGGGATTATGATACCTACCTTGCCTACTTCCTAGATTTAGTTCAGGCGGGAATGCGATGATGCTGTGAAAGCCCAGGGTAAGTGAATTCACGACATGGAATTTGCTGTCTTCACACTATTGATAAAATAAAGCCACAGAGGTTCTAGAGGTGCTAAGAGACAGCTAATGACTAGAGAGCTAGTGGCTCTCCTGACTTCTGCTTCCCTGTTCTTTCTGCTACATCACCACATCGAAGGCCAAGGAGAAGCATGGTTGGATGAAGACTTCCAGAGCTGGCTCGGGGGGGGGCAGATAACTGCCTTCTACCCTAACCCGTGAATGGGTGCATTCCCCATCCCAGATGTTCAGGAACCTGTAATCCCCCTAGTGAAGAGGGAGAGCAGTGGTGAAGGCTTTGGTGCAAAGCCACCAGCAGGTCGGCTGGCCCCAGGCCTGGGACAGTTGCGCAAGCGGAGCTGGGGGCCCGGGAATGGAGCTTGTGCAGCTGCTGTGATTATGGACGAGGGTCCCGTGGCTGGCTAGTGATGCTGTCAGGATGGGCAAAGGGAGAGCATGGAGGGAAGGGGGCCTCCTGGCTGCAGAGCCAGGCGGAGCCTCAGGACTCGGAATGCTGTCTGTGCCTGGGAGGGGGCTCTGCCCTCCTTACTCACCCCGGGAGGACCTCATTTTCTCCACCTTAGTGAGGGCAGGGTGATAAGATCATACATATTATGCCTCCGCATGGCAGGAATCAACTGGATCAAAACTAGGTTCAAACAGGAAAGGATCCCAGAGCCTCTCTGAAGCCCTGAAAAGGGGCTACAGGTGCCCTCACCAGAAAGCCGGAGGTGGAAAGCTTCCAAGACTAGAGGACTTGCTATGCATTATCTTACCCAGGTCTGTCTGGTGTTCAGTTAACTCCTTGAGTAACTGAACGAAATTGAGAATCACCAAACAATCTTTATGTTCCTCTGGAGGTTACAAAGCAACTTCACACCTATTTTCTCATTTGAACCCCACATACCTGAGTGATAGGTATTATTTGGATCCCCATTATACAGATTAAGAAACGGAGGCTCAGAGAGCCATGAGGTGACTTGCCTAAGGTCACACAGTTAAACTATGGAGGAGTTAGTCGGGAATTCAGGGGACGAACTTATAGAAAAAGTACATATGCTGACCACAGACATTCCTTCTTCCCACCGGCTGATACTTCACAGAAAAGGGGTGGGGGTTTCCATACACACGTGCACCCTTGCTCATCTTTCTGGGCCATGGACCTCTGCTCCCCGACCACATGCTCAGCCACGCAGGCTGTGGCCCTTGTCCTCCTCACCCCACCGTCTGCAGGCTGGGAGCTGTGAATGTAGAAGGTTGCCTGAGCCACCATCCCAGGTCCTTCCCAGATGGCATCCCGTTGCAGATCCCAGAGCAGCCACACTTACTTTAAGCCACTTTCTTCTCTCCCGGCAACTCAGATTCGGGGGCACAGCCTGCTGGCTGGTCCACAGCCTGGGGCTTTCCAAAAGTTGCCAGCAGGACACTGGATGGTGCTGCCAAAACTGAAACTGTGTGCAGTGCTTGACCCACACCTGGGCTCTTAAAGGGACACTTTCCCATAGGCCTGGCGGCCAGCCAGGGGCACGTGACTCTCACAGCTCCCTGGCTTTCCTTTCCTTTCAGCTTTTCTGACTGGTTCCATTTGCTCCCCTTGACCTTGGGGAGACTGTTACCAGGGAACCCTCCATCATTACAGCAGCAGGATGAGAGACAGAGTACAAGCATGAAGAGCCAACTCTGCCTTTTTCTAGCTGCAAGATCCTAGGCAAGTCATCTTTATATTTCTTTTCATCTGACAAATAGGGCTAGAAATCCCAAACCTACAGGTTGAGGGTGTAACAGATATTAGACGTAAAACCCTGGTCCAGGTATGGTATGAGGTTCATATGCATTTGATGGAGCACAGGAAGCAGGAACGGCTCACACTCCTTGGCCTCATCTCCCCACTCTCTCGAGAACCCCCCACTTTCTAGGATACTTAGCCTGGATGAAGTCTGCTCTTTACACATCTTCTGAAGAGTCCCCTTTTACCAGCCCCATTGCTTCCAGGAACTTGGGGGACCGTGGCTCGTCCGATTTTACTCCCTACAAGGATTAAAGACGGGCTGCTTCTGGGCTCCCCGGAAAATGGCGGACCCCGGAGCCATGTGGGGACCCGGGCTCTGCACCATAGCAAAGTCGGCGCTTATCTGCCGAGCTGGGTGGGGAACCTCCTTCCCTTCCTCAGGTCGTCCTTGGTGGTCTCCTGGAGATGATCCCGTTAGGACTCCCAGAGGTGCGCCAAATGATCTTAGTAGTCCCGTGTCACACAAGTGAAGCCCACTCCCCAACACACACTCCTATGTCCCCCTACCCCTCAACACACACTCCTCCCACAGAATCCTGCCCCATCCTACCTGTGCAGGACTGACCCAGGCTCTCCCTATGGCATCCTGCCGGCCAAGCCCAGAAGGGGAAGGAGGAAAGGAGAAATAGAATCCCAGAAAACGCAAGGCGGTCAAAGCCCCAAGTCTTATTTTAGCTCACCACTCACTCAGGAGTGGATATCAGCCTGCAACTATTGGTTTGGATGGCAAGAAAAGAAATTGTATATTCTAGCACAGAACTTAATTTCAGACCCTAAATGCACAATCTGACTAATATTAGAAAATAAAATTACCTAGTCGCTTCCGGGCAAGCTCGGTGCAATTCAACGAGCTCTCCGTCACTTCACTACCGATTTAAAACTCGGTCTCATTTGGGACTTCTTTCCTTTTTGTCTCCCTTCTCTCCTCTGGTTTTAAGTTAAATCTGGGGGAAGTGGGGCATGGACAAGGGGGTGGCTTATGTCAACCTTACTGTCAAGGCAGTAAGAAGGAATGCCCTACTTTTTTGACCTTGCTTTGTCGTGGTTCTATGTTGGCTTCATCCTGGGGCAGGAAATAGCCTTGTCTTCTGAGATGTGACTTGTCCTGCTGGTCAGTGGCCCTTGTCTCTGCTCATCTGGAGACTATCTATGGTCCACTCTATGTTCTCCTTGTCCCTACTTCTGGGCTCCTTCAGGTAGGACTTTTGCAATCTATTAGCCCTTCATTGCCTTTCTTATGGAGGCAGGGTAAGTCGGGCTCGTCTGCATCCTCCCGATGCCTTTGGGAGAGCCTGTGCAGCAGAGCTTCATTCTCTCCTAATGCCCCTTGTAGCCTTCTGGGCCCCATCGTTCCTGTGTAACTGGAGTTGCAGTGAATGTCAACAAGACTGTGGACCACTGAAGGGCTGTACAGGACAAGCAAGGTGCAGTTGCCCCTGGCTTTGGCACCCCCAAACCTCTCTGGACAGCTCCATCATTGTCCATCTCCTCTCCCCACCTCTAACCCTAGAATAAGCCCCACTGGGGCGCCTGGGTGGCTCAGTCGTTAAGCGTCTGCCTTCGGCTCAGGTCATGATCCCAGGGTCCTGGGATTGAGCCCCGCATCGGGCTCCCCGTTCCGCAGGGAAGCCTGCTTCTCCCTCTCCCACTCCCCCTGCTTGTGTTCCCTCTCTCGCTGTGTCTCTCACTGTCAAATAAATAAAATCTTAAAAAAAAAAAAAAAGAATAAGCCCCACTGTGGTGAGTGGGAGGGCAATGGGTGCATCAGTAGCTAAGCAATCGTTCTCCTGCCTGGGTTCAGGGTGGCTATCCGTGGGAGGTGAAGATGGTATGGGGACGGGGATAGGACAAGCCTGGCTCTGCCAGGTTACAGCTCCTTTCAAAGGTTTTCCTTCTTAGGCTTCTCTCCTTTCAAACACAATCATCAGATATCTGTAGGTTTTGTTTTGCGTTAACTCGTTTTCCCCATGGCAGGGGATAACTTGGATCCAGTTGTCTGGGCTAGAGTAGGGGTTAAGGGAGGCCCACTGAATACTAGGACAGAAACTTGATAAATGTTTGCAGGGAGGGAGGGAAGCACATCCATGAAATGGTTGCTTCTCAGGCTGCCTCAGGGGCCCGAAATCTCCCACTCCATTTCCTTATTCTGTACTGGGGAGAATTTCCTGGATTCCATCCTGGTGTGTGCTCCCAGGAGTCCCCAAAACTATCTTAGCAGACATGCACATATGCACAGTCCACCGGGCCTACTGATCCAGCTTAGGGGAAAGGGAAAACAAGAAGTAGAATGTAGGGAAGAGTTGGGAAGTCAAAACCCTGCATCTTATTTTGGGCTCAGCCACATGCTAGTGGTGAGATTGGAGCCACCCAACTTCCCCTCTCTCACTGTGGCTTCCCCATTGGGAACTCAGTGGCCCTAAAGCATAACCCCTGCCTCCCTGTCCTGAGTGGGGAGGGACTGGCCAAGAGGGTCCAACTGCCCAATTCGGCAATAATCATACCTTCTGAAACTTATGTCCCATCGTATGCTTTCAAGTTCCCCCCTCCCTGTTGAAATAATAATATGAGAAGAATATACTAATAATAAGAACTAGGGCTTCTCATTTGACTTTCATGACCCTGGGACTCAACATGAGCACCAGTCTGAACTCGGGACACGTGCCCTGGTCCTGGCTCTGTCTCTAACTTGCTGAGTGACCTTTGCCAAATCGATTCCTCCTTTAGGGCTGCGATTGTTTCTTCTGTTAAGTGGGAGGACTGGGCCACGCGGTCTCTAAGGCTTTTCCAGTCCTAGGATTCTGTGTTCTGAGTGAGCACTGCGTTTGCTGATGTAACACATTACTGTAATTTTGCTGGCTTGAAACACCAGAAATGTGTTCTCAGTTCTGGAGGCCAAGAGTCTGAATCAGGAGTGGACAGAGTTGTGCTCCTGCTGGAGGCTCTAGGGGGGGAATCCGTTCGTCATCTCTCCTGGCTTCCAGCTGCTGCTGGATCCCTGGGCATTCTTTGGCTTATGGCTGCATCATGCCCGTCTTGCCTCTGTGCTCATATTGCCTTCCGTGTGTGCCTCAACTGTTTCTCGGCTCTCTCTTACAAAGACATTTGTGATGGCATTTAGGGTTCATTCGAGTAATCCAGGATGATGTCTTCATCTCAAGTGCCTGGGCTGAATCACATCTGCAAAGACCCTTTTCCCAAATAAGGTAACATGACAGATTCCAGGGATCAGGAGGTGAACATGTCTTTGGGGAAGGGAGGCCACTTTGTAGCCTATTGCAAGCATCTACTATGCCCGTGATCAGTTTGCATGAGGTCCAGGGAGATTACAGATATCAGCAGTGTGCCTCCCTGTTCCCCAAGGGCATCTGGTCTAATTGAGGAGCCATCACCCCACACACCACTGCCAAGGAGCAACCCCAGCTGGGCGGTAGCCCTCGCAGTGAGGCAGTGCAGTCTTGGGGAAAGCTCACAGGCTCCAGACCAGAATGCCCAGGTCACATCCAAACCCTGTCATCTGCTGGCCCAGGGGACCCTTGACAAGTTTCTTAGGGTCTCTGGACCTCAATTTTCTCGTTTATAAAATGGCGCTAATTATACTTACCCTGTGTGTTTGTTGCAAATATTAAGTATAATATGTGCAGTGGCTGGTATCTTACAGGAGCTTATGATTCAGCTTCAAATGAATGGGGCAACACAGGCTTTCAGAACAAAGAGTGATTCCCACTGATCGATGAGGAACCAAGGGCAGAGAAGTGGAATGACTTCTCTGGGCAGCAACAGACTGCAATTTGCACCTTCACCTGATTCAGGGAAGACTGGAGAGGACCAAACATACAGGCCTATGCAGGTCTGACCCTACAGGCTGGCATTGTCAGGTGGATGCTCCAAGACCATGGGTTGACCCAGCCACCCATAGAGAAGGGGAGGCCTGAGCTGGAGGGTCCTTCCCCAGACCGCCCCTGCCCTTCTGACATTCTGGCATCCCTCCCTGCAGATGGTGCTTATAAATGCGGCTTTCCCCAGCCAAGGGAGATAACAGCGGACAGATGAAACAGACTATTGCGGCTGTTTACTGCCAGTTCTCGGCTCCCATGGGCAGATCTTTGGCTGAGTCAATGTTTAACCCCATGTAGAGTCAATGTTTAATCCCAGGCCAGCCAGCCCCGAAATCCAGCATTCCTCAGCAAAGCAATCCTATGGTCATGTCAGTGTCAATCACTGGAAAATAGAATTATGACCGTGAATCTACCGACGCTAAATATCAAGCCCCCTCCCCACCCCCTTTTAAGGATATTGACTATGTGGGATTATCATGTCCAAGCAGCCCTACCCTCGCCATCAGTAGGTAATATTCTAGTAATTCCTGACCCTAGCTGTCTTCCACTGGAAGGAACACAGCCTGTGCTCTCTCTGTCCTGGGCTGGAGAGAGGCCACGGGATGGGGACTACTGCCGTTGGTGCCCAGCTGGGTGCTGCGGGCTGGAAGACAGTCCCTCGTGGGGCCGCTGCCTGGAATCCCACCATGAAAGTGGGCCCTGCAATAGTCTAGTTGGCTGAGCTCAGGGAGGCTTTTGGGGAGCTCCTGAGCCCAGACATATGTTTGGAGGCCTGAGCCTTTTCCCAGGTGAGCCTCCCTGTTAGGGAGTAGGGGGGCGGG